ACATTTCAAGGGTAAATGCTAGTGGAAATCGGACAAGGGGTAGTGATGATCTTGGGCGAAGATCAAGTGTAACACTAGGCAAAATTGAAGCCTTTATTTATATGTTTAAGTTATAATATTTTTGTATAGGATAAATATATGCTATGGTAAAAATATAAGCTAAGATATAGATACTATTTTCATCAAAATATTTAACTATAGTAGCATTTACATAGATAAATACTTTGGCAAAAATAATATAGAAAGTAAAGATAAAATAAAATAGAAATGTTCTAGAAATAGTAAAGGTACAATAGATATAATAAATGTCGAAGGTGTTGTAACAGATCTGTAATACAAGACTATTCTAGAATAATTAATATTTCAAGGGTCAATGTTAGTAAAAATCAAACAAGGGGTATTGAAGATCTTGGGTAAAAATCAAGTATAACAATAGTATGTATTTAAATATCCAATAGCTTTAAAAGAAAGTAATCAAATTATTAAACAAATCAATCTTATTTTTCATTTCAATAGTGACTTAAAACTGATAACTCATATATAACAGATTGTAAAGTTAATATATGATATTATAGACAATATATTTTTTTTATTAGACTTTAATAACTAAGCTCAAGTGTCAACTGAAGCCTTAATATAATCATATAATATTATATGAAAATTGTGATACATCATGGCCAACACTTCTTTATAAAATAATATAAAATAGAAAGAAAAGTCTTCTACCAATATAATCAAGAATAGTTAAACAACTTTCAAATCAAATTTGCAAAAATTTTTTTTAACACAAAAATTATTAATAACAGTCAATTTATTTATTTTAATTGTAGACAGTTATATTTAAAACAACTTTAACTTTTTTAAATATATTATCAAACTAATTTAAAATTATATTAATATTATTTTTTCTAATATTAAGTAGATAAACATAGTTGTTTAATATCTTCTGACAAAATATATTGTTTTAAAATTTATTTTCAATATTAATTATTTGATTTTTGTAAGCAAACTAATATTAAACTCATTGTATTCACTAATGAAAGATATTATTTCTTTTATAATATATATTTTTAATATACAAATTAAATAAAGAAATAATATTTATCTACTAAAAAAAAAAAAAAAGTTAATAAAAAATATTCATTAAATTAAATCACTATACTAGTCACGGGACATTTCTCTTAATCAAGACTTAAAATGTTATTTTTATAATACAATTTATATTGTGTGTAACAACAACAGGAGGGAAATGTCCCTTAACTGATACTTATTATGCTGTTTTTAATTAATAAAATTATTTCAAATTATATAACCTTATCAAATCTATATTTTCTTTTTGTCTTTTATATTCTTTGCTATATTCAAAATTCCTGTACAAGTGTCACAAAGTCAAAGATTGTATTGTAATAAGTAATAGACCCCTGGTTTATAACAATACTAAAATTTTATATTGAATTATATATATATACTTTTTTTTCAAATGTTTCTTATTTCTTAAAACATATATTGTTGTATGTGATATTTATTTATATTGAAAAGATTAACAAAAAATAAAAATTGATAATTTTAAAATAAATTAAAATAAAATTATTAAATAATAAATACATAAATAATAAATAATAATACATAAGAAATATAAAGTTGTATTAATAATTAATTTTGAAAAATTTGAAAAATTAAAAAATTAATATGCACTTGAAAGAATTATTTTTTAAATTTTAATTTAAAAATAAAATAAAATAAAATAAAAGAAAATAAAAGAATAATGGTTGAACAATCAAAAATAAAAGTTTTTAAACAAAAAAAAAGTCCTAAATAAAATTAAAAAAATTTTGAATTCAAAAATATAATAAATTAAAAAAAAAAATAGAAAATAGACTAAGATCTTTAAAAGAAAAAAAAATCAATATAAATATGTATTGAGAAAATAAATGGTTTAATGCATTCAAGCTTAGATAAATATACTGTCAATAGAATAATAATAATAATAATAATAATAATAATGTATTAATAAATTTCAATTATTTATTTTCTTAGCGGTGATCGATGCCGTGGTCCGACCGTTAAACATTCTATTATAAACCTAGGTCTAGATTTATTCAATTAATAACGAGTATTTTTGCATTTCCTCAATTTTTTTATTAGATTAAAATTACATGCAATGAAATAAATGATTGTTTAATAAAGGATGCCATGATCTACGTATATTACATGTTGAATAAAATTAAAACAAAAAACTGATGCACCAGATTAATATAGAAAAAACATTGTCTAATTTACCCATTAAACACTTGAGGATATACGAACTCGTATTTTTCCTTTTATCCTAATATCACGTTCACAACTCACTATCTTCTTCGTCCGTTATCATATCCATGATAGACTTACGCTTCTTTTTTGATTTCTTCGAAGGGGATGTATTTCTTTTTCTGATGATGGAGGATTTTGACGATGCGATCTTTGATTTTGAAGACCCTCCTAGCTTTTTTACAAGTCCCTTTCGTGATGAAGAACTGGCACCTGCTTGCTTCATCGATGCTTCATCAAACGCAGACGAGGTGGTTATATCGAAATCCACGTTAATAAAATCGTTTGATTGTTTGTAGGACGATTCACTTTCAAACTCATTTTCAAAAAATTCTTCTCGCGTTCCATCTTCAGCCATAAGTCTCCTAAACTAAAGAACCAAAGTCATTAGAAGAAATAAGAATTGCAAGTCAAATTAGAATGTCAAAAAATAAAAAATAAAACCAATTTTTTGTTTTTTTTTACCAATTCACATTGTTTATAAACATCATTATCTGACGCTAAAGGTTTGTCCAGAAAAGGAAAACCTTCCCATGATATAATAAACGGAGCGGTCTGATTACGTATGGCCGGTTTGTCTTTGTGAGATCCACTTTGTGTCGGATTAAAATTTTGACATTTTCTAACATAGACGAGAGGTAAGATAGGTTATACATAATTGCATTAATTATGAATCAAGTTTAGATTTCTTTTCACAAATTACTCACACTTCACTCAAAGAATACAATTTTTTTAAATGATCCTTTAAGTGCATTAAAATAGTCATACAAATGGAAACCTTGGCGGCATAGGAAAGAGGCAGAACGTTTTCTGTCATAGATTATATGATTTAGTCTAGTGGTCAAAATGATAGTTCGGGATCATTGAAATAACATTTAACTCACCATTCTCAATGTTTCTAGTTCCTTCCGTCAATGTTCCGTTTTGAATTTCCTTCGTATCCGTTAACCGTTCTTCGATTTGCATTGAACTTGACGAACCCCACGTTTCCATTGTATCATTAACATCTACAATGTCATTGGTTACAAATGCATTTGGCTCTAAATGGTCATCAGGAATTTTGTTCTCAATATAAACACGGACATTATCTAAAATAACCTCTCCTGAATTATCAAAAACTAAATTACTGAATTGAGTATTCTTCTGAATCGAATGCAACACACTAATTGCAACAACAGACAGGACGCGATCGATCAAATAAATAACGTGAAGAACTTCTTCTATGGTTTTATAATCGACCATGGCTAGATTCTCAGCAACAAATCTACAAAACCCGATGTCCACCTGAGCCAATAGCAAGGACTTAGTATGAAGGCATTATCGGTAGGTTAAATAAAACACAGGAATCAGAATAATACCTTTGATTCTTCACATCCTTTTAAGTCGAAATCAAAAGTTTTAACGACTGAAATGAGAAAATCATTACGAGATTTCCTTTTATCTTTCAGAAGAGAATACATCGGGTTTAACAAGGCTTCCGGTTGCCCCTCTTGAAAATGCATTGTATAACCTGAATCAAATTACAGTTTAGTTTAATGTACAAATAATTTTTGATTAAAACTTAAGAACCCACCGGATATAGGTTCTCCATTGGAAAATTGCTTTTGAAAAGCATAGGCCTTTTTAACGCAATCCACATTTCGAGTATGTATTAAAGAGGCGTGTTTCTCATTCAAATGTTGATGCAATTTAAACGCTTTGTCACGTATATTCTTTTCAGGACTGGTCTCCATTGCGACAATAGTTGGCATACACTACATCAGAAATAAAATAAAAATTAAATAAATAAATGAATAAATAAATGAATGAATGAATGAATGAATAGTTCTTACCAAAACAGGGTGCGCCAAGCCTTGCTGAATTATGTTGCCTAAAACATCTAGTGCTACAATTTTTAAACTTTGCGTTTGATCAAATGTACACTCCAAGATCCGATCCAAGTATCTCTGCATTAAAGAACTGCTTACACTTTAAATTTAAAATCTTATGAGTAAAGGGGTTTCAATTTGCATGAACGGTGAGGTCAAAGCCAAAATTTATAATGATTCATACCCTGCCTCTGCAAATTCGTCGGCATTCCCAATCAATACTTTTAGATCGACAGGTGTGTTTTTTTTTTTTTCTATAAAGTTATTAGAATAAGAAACGTAACCCGTCTTCAAATTAATATTAATTTAAAATTATTGACACGCATACTTTTATCCTCCAAATCCGCATTGATTTTTTGTTGTTCAGCCACCAAAAAGTCCAAGAATACTTTCATCAATTGTATTCTCATATCCATTGCACCGGTTTGAAGTATGCGATCCATTAAATCAGTACTTTCTAATCTTAACATTATTATCGGATATGAAAGATATATAAAACCTAGATAAAGAAGTTATAATATTGAGAGGTCATCATCACACATGCGAGAATTTGTATACATTGGATAAACGCTTACCTAAGCTTTGCAACGCCATTTTTTGGACAGCTTCTGATAAATTTTCCTTACAGAAAAATAAAGCCAACTGAAAAATGATTGTTATTATGGGGCCCTATTTATAGAATGGTTTAATATGTGTTTTTCAAAGACAATTTTAATATATTGTACTTCTCATAACCTTGTCAATTGAGTCCAAATCTTTCATCTTCTCTAAAGTATGTGAGTATAGATCAATTTATTAGCTTTAGTTTTAAAAGTGTCAATAATCATCAGGTAAGATCATGGTGACCAACCTGGCTGATCAGCTCTTTTTTTATCGAAATCAAAGTTTTTACATAATAAACCGATAATCAAAAGGAGCACCATAACATTACGAGCAGATGATAGTTCCTTGCCTGCTTCCAACTGTTTCTTTTCTACTTTAAGCTTTTCTATAAGGTGTGAATAGTATAAATTAAATTAAATTTCTCGGAGGACAGCAAATAAGTGTTGGCATTTACCAGTACAAGAACGTAAAAGTTTTATCAATCGAGCATAATTGAACGTCAGCTTGTCTATTATAACACAGAGACACGGGACAACCTCTTGGAGAATCTAAAGTGTGAGTCAAAAACAACAAAAAATTACTATTATATTTGCGTCATATAAAGAAAAAAAATGTTATTTACTTTTTGAGGACTCTTTGTTAACAACCCCATAAGCGCTGTTTCGATTTCATTTAAGAAAATAGGGTTTGGCCGTTTAAGAAGTGGAAGAACATTCCGATATATCATCAGGACATAATATAGTATCGATTGATCATCCGACTAGAAAAAGTTATGTTAATAATGATAATATAACATGGTAAAAAACTTTAAGAATTTAAAGGACCTTTACCGTACTGGCACTTTTTAAATATGGTTGTAGGGTAACGACGTGATTACTAACTAGCGTTGGAGACGCGTTGCTTAAAAGGCAGATTGTACTAATGCAACTAACAACTTCTGTCTAAATTAAGAAAATAAAATTTAATGACAATTGATTTATTAAAATAAAAGGTAGTACATAAAAACCTAATAAAATTACCTTTGAATTGGAGTCTTGAAGGGTTAACAAATGTTCAAAAAGACAATCGACCATACATTGGCATATACTTAATATTTCTCGTTTTTGTTTATCGTCTTTTTCCAACACCTAATTAAAGTTTCAACATAATTCAATAATAGCCCCAAAATTATTATCATAAAGGTGAAATCGGTCAACCTTCTTGAAAAAAGCTCCTATGATATGTCCATTTCTTTCACCTAGTCGTTCCGAAACTCCAACGATCAATAAGCTTCTCGCTAAAACTTCTTTTTTGCCAACAGCAGACATCATGTTGAATTCACTTTGTCTTTCATCTTCATCAAGATAATTGCTTACATTCTTTTGGTGCTTAAACGGAGTGAACCATAACTCTTGAATAGTTTTTAGGGCCAATTCCTGTGAAAATATAAGAAATTTAACTCCGCTGATCCGGGCACTCATATTGTAACGCTTTTATCATTATTAACCTTGACATGATCATCATCATCGTTTATTCGCATGAGAATTTTACATCCGATGTCAATCATCATGGCCTGATCAGTACTTTTAAGGAATATGTCACGAAGTAGTTTAATCACACGTTTTCGAACATTAAGACCTGTGTCCTTTTAATGAAAAGATGAGAATTCAAAATTTTATACATTGAAGCTAGAATTGGAAAAATTATGGTTGATGATTACTTACTAGCACACGGTCACTAATAACTTTATAATATTGTTCAGTGATCTCTGGTTTTTGCGAAAGATAACGACCAACAAGATCGATAGCAGCATCACGTACGGCCGGAGAGTTATCGGAAAGTCTTTGCGCAATCGTTTGACGGACATTAACCTATATCATTTGAATTTCTGTTAAAAAGTAAACATGAGGATTTTTGAAAGAAAAACTACTTACTTGACTCAAAATACTGGGATCGCATACTACAACTTGTCCTAGGGCCCTTAGGGCCTTTGTTCGAAAGGCAACCACACCTGTATCCAAAGATACCAATATTCTTGAAAGAATTGAATCAAAGTTCTGGTAGAGGGACTGCCTTGATGCAAGAAGCTCAGTGATAAGAAGAATATCCGATCTATCGACGCTTTGCGACCTAATGAACATTGCAAAACGATGTTATATTTTTCTTATTTTAATTCATGCATTTTTAACATCAATGCAAACCTCTGTCCGAGACTTTGTGTTATGTGATCTTCAGATGACATTTTCCAATATTCAACAATAATTTTATCCATCAACTTTTTCATAGAATTATATTTAATCTTTTCCTCTTCTTCATTGCATTTCGGTTCCAATCGCTTTTCACCCATCAGTTGTAAAGTATTCACGAACGAAAACCCCCATTCTGTCAAGTAAAATTGACGTGCACACTAAATAATGGAGAACATTAAGTTAATACAAATTAATACACAAGAAATTGTTGTTTTGAACTATACCTGCACCGCAGGGTCTTCTGTGGCACTGATTTCCAAAAAAGAAAGCACAGCCTTTTGACATTCATAGAGATTTTTAATAGCTTGTGTACGAGTAAGAGTTGTGATCTAACATTAACAGATAGTGATATTAAAATAAACACCTATTTATAGTAGGAATCAGTCGGTGGAGATTAAAAACAAAAAATCCTAATACCTCTCCCTTTGGAATATTCTTTATCTTGGAGAACCATCTCCGTTCATCTTTCTCCTCCCAAATCTCATCGGACGTTTCTTCGTAAGATTTGATACCAGAGTTGGAAAACTTTTTGATGCGACCAGCTATGGTGCCCAAATAATCAATGGCCATTGATTTTGTATAAGTGTCAGCTTTTTTATCGTTAATGTAGCCAATCTAAAAAAGAAGGAAAAATTAGAATTAACTTCATTTAATAAAAATAAATTAGACAAACTTACCATTATTTTGCTGAAAATAAGAATTATCATTTCAGCCGCTGGCCATTCCGGATAATTTAATACTGTTATTACATCTTCCATGAAATTATCCAATAGAACACGATATTCCGATTCATTTGAATTTTTGATCGTCTTTGTACATCTATTTGTGATTTTTTTTAAAAAATAAAAATAAAAATAATAATAACAAATAAGGTTTTGATCAATGATGTTAACTCAGCAAAAAAAATTTTACCTGGAAAGCAAAAATTTGAAAATGTAACCAGCATTCGTACTGGCCGCGTCTATTCCTGCTTTCCACGCGTGACCGCACTAAATGTTATAAATCATTAATATGGATCTTTCGGGTGAATAACGTAATATCAATTTTTTTTTAAAAAACCTTTTTCGATTCACTCATTTCGTTGTGCACAACTTTTTCAGTAATTTCCATTTCTCTACATTCATCCGCGCTTTTAAGATCAATTTGACTTATTCCCGCGGTACAACTTTGTATTAATTGTAGGATAAGCGCCGAAACCATTTGAATAGATTTACCATCAGGCAACCTAATAGTTAAAAAGGTTGTTTTATATTAGTAGTTAAAATATAATATCACCTATAAATATCAAATAGGGTTTTACATTTGTACCTGTATTGTCTTAAATTTCGTTTAACCGTAGGCAACTTTATAAGAGAGGTAAGGATTTCTTCCAATATCCATGTACGTTGTTTTGGATGGTTTATAAATACCTATTGGTAGAAAATATTTAGAAAATGTCGTGAGTACCTAGTTAATTAGTAACATATGTACTTGATGACATTCTTACCGATCTTAATAAATCCAGTGCAACCAATTTTACAGCTTCGAGACCATTTCCGAATATGAAATTACTGTTACCACTCGCGGAGTCCACAAAAAATGGTCCAATAGCGATGAAGCTAATCGTGATCACAATGGCATCGGACAACTCCTCCTGCCTCATAAGTTCATATAATTTTTGTAAGTAATTGGTGATTATAGGAAGGATACCAGCGATTTGACGCTTGATTCGGGGAGTGAAGCAACGAAAAAAATATCAATAGCTATGTCAAGGAAAGTAAATAATCAATATAGTGCCAAAATAATGTATATAAATGATTAGAAAGGATATTGTTTGATCATCTCTTTCAGGGCTAAATTTGATTCACCTATAGAAATAAATAAATTATTAGGCAGAGGAATGGGTGTATCTGTAACTGTAAATTGATCGTGTTGCCTACTATTCAATGCATCATCTGAAGTGTTCATTTCAAATATACGATAGATTATCCCTCCAAGTTGACCTTTCACAAGATTGAGGCTTGAGGTAATCAAATCTTCTGGGTATAGCTATATTCAGGAAAAAAGAATCCGTTATAATCAAGTAACTGGAATTTCCAGATATGGCCTAGAAATAACAAACACCTGTTTGCTTAATTTTCCGCCAGTCATAATCGAAAAAGCAGCAATCGCAGCCTCGACCCCATTTATTATTTTTTCGAGTTTATCATCAATTATTGTGATATTTGACTCAACATCCACATCCATTTCGTCATTTTCAGTAAGATCATTTTCCAAATTAACTGATGATCTTTTTTTTTCATGCGAACTTGATGAATAGTTATTAGGAAGGATATCGGAAGTTTCGACCTCCCGAACCGATCTCTCTAAAATCTTAAGAATCCTTCCCAAATCATCCACCTCAACGTCTTCAAGAAGCTTGTATCGACTCACTTTACCAACGTACTTTGTAAGTTGGCGAATGGCCATTGATGTGAGCAAAGGCTCGTTCGAATTTATGCTGGAAGGAACGAGGATCGACAGATAAGAATTCGATGAAGGATCGGAAATGATAGAATCTTCGGCTTCGAATATCGTATTAATATAATTCATTAATTTGTTCAAGGCACCTATTGTTAAATGGATACTAATGAGTAAACATTACCAAAATAGATATTAAACAAAGTTAACTAAAATGTTCATGTACCCTCTTCACTTCTTTCGTCGTCCTTGTCTCTTTGTTTTCTGAATTCTTGGCTTGGTCTCTGAAAATATTGCTGACTGCTGCTGCGTAATTCATCCGGTGATCGATACTCCGCCAAAACATCTCGGGATGGCATTTCTATAACGACTTCTGGAGAAGCAATACGCAAATTATGTCGTTTTGTTATATTTGTTATATTATGATCTTCTATTTTCTTGTGATGTATTTCTATAACAGGGAACATCTCATTATTTATAACAACTTTTGGTGAAGGTAGTCGATTTCTTAAATTTTGTGAAGAAGCCGAATGCTTCCGTGGATATTCTAGATGTGACTGCTTAGTATATTTTGGAGGTAAGCTTTCAATGACTACTTTCGGAGATGGAGGATATAAATTGGGGATACCCTCTGACACTTTATATGAACTCCCATCCGAAAATTTCGATTTGTGATCAACAGGAGCTGATGTCCCTGCAAACGCTGATGGTGGACTACCGTGTTTCTGAGCATCGATTGAATGTAACTCACCCGAATTTTTATGATTTTTCTGATATTCGTTCGGAAGTTTCTTTTGACCTTCATGAGTATTATCTTGACATAGATCTTTGTTGGGTAATATGTTTGACTTCGACTGTGAATTCTGCTGACGAGTTATTTGTTGAGGTGTACCATTCTCACCGAACAATTCTGGAGTTGAAACATGGAATTTCTGTGATTGTGACAAAGAGTTTTTTTCTGATATTTGATACGTATTACGATGAATTTCTGTAGTGTTATCTCGATGTACAGTGTCCATTGTTTGCTTGAATGATCTTTTTTGCGGAACAGAAGGTTGAGGACAAAATGCATAATCAAAGGAAGGTTGTGGAAATGGTACCGGTGGACTTTTAAATCGCCTAATTCAAGAAAACAAGGATTCAGTTTCTTAGGTTAATATCTCGAATAGCAACGGGGTTTTGCGTAAAAAAATAACCTTAAGATCAATATTTCCATTTTTTTTAATAAGACAGATGTCTCAAAAAACCGGAAATTATGAAAAGAGCCCGTGTTTGATACAACTTACACATAACTCACGTCTACTTGGTTTAACAAATTCCTAACAGTATGCAGCTGTTGTTGCAGGGTTGCATCTGCAAATTGTGAAGACGTTTGATTCTCTAACAAATTAGCAATTCTCGCATATTGTGGGTCCGCTGTGTTACAAGTGGCATATTCTTCAAATGCAATGGCAATCGAAGGTATGTCTCTTATAACTTTTTTTAAATTGATAAATATTAGAAAGTAGAAAAGTAAGAGAAATTGATGTCAACATAATAATAATAATAATAAAACCTGCTGAAGCCGGGGTCAGAGAGGCTAAAGCCGTATATTGAAGTGCAGAGCGAACATCACTTGGAGCAGGAAGGAAAGAGGTTTCTGTAACTCTTTCACTACCAAATTGTTCTCCATTAGAACCAAAAGAATCGTTCATGTTTCTAGGGTTATCTTATTTATATCAATATTGTAAGGCTACTACTCTAATTACTCTGATTTTTCGGTTTTCTTCAAAGTTTAGACCTTACAACATTTTTCGAAACGAAGAAGATTTAATGTGTTATATCGTTTAATTTCATGTCTTTATCATGTGATTATTAAGAATTATATCACGTGAATAAAATTATCACGAATTCCCGAGAATATCAAAAATTTTGTGATCATTTTTAAGAATTCACATATACATGTAATGTAACTTATATATTTTACACAAATTGTCCAAGATATTTTTTCTTATAACGCTGTGTCTATACGCGAATTTTTAAGTAAACGATGAACTGACGCGTTTCCCGATCATGTAAAAAGGGTTTCTCCGAATAGAATCTATGAAGTTTTCCGCCTAGCAAATTTCGTTCTATTAATAATATATAGGGGGAAATCATAAACTTATATTGAATGGCAATGTGTAATAATGTAAACACCTGCTATGAAAGGTTAAAAAAGAATAAAGCGGAGGAGCGATAAAACCTTATGATGTACAGTAATATAGTATATGTTACACGTAACTCGATAATGAGCAGAGTTTATTTTCTACAGGTCATGTTTAGGTTCTAGAAAAATGTTTAACGATATCCTACGAATTTAGATTACCAAAATAATGATAATTGTATAAAATAAGATGACGTTTGATTATTAATAACGTTTAATCATTTTCGTTAAAGTAAACTACCGAGTCTTCTTTGTTTTAAAAGGCGCGTATTCATTGAATAAATGTTTAGAGTGCCATAACATATTTTGACGTAAAGTCCAATGTAAAGCGATTTGTGAAGTTTTATCGTTTATTCTCTTTACATGCTACAAACGAATGACTTTACCGAAACCACTTGTTAATAGTAAGTCTTACGCTTCCGTATTCTCCATACAGGCACATAAGGTTGACCAGGAAGGTATTTAATGGCTAGGCATCGACCTGATGGTATAGACCACAACTGCACCGTCTTGTATGAGCCATCCGGAGAGAAAATTACGCATCCAATATGTCAAGTATGTCTAGTTTTTGACCTGTTTAAAAAAATTCTCCATTGAATAAACTATAAAGATAGTTTATTTATTCTAATATTTACTATTGTATAAATATACTCATATTAAATGTTCGGGCGAAGAGAAGGACTATACAGTTCAGACAAGGTGGTCATTACATCTTATCCCCGGTCATTACGTAAGTAGAGTACGTACCTAACTTAATAAAGCGTAAGCGTATAATTAATAAAATGGATGTGTTATAGTAAATAAACTATGTACTGTATATTTATGTATTTATTAAAAAAAAAAGTTTTTTTTTTTAAGTTTTTTTTTTTATTGACTTAATAGTATTGACTATGTAGGTAAATAATTAATAATATAATGTTAATTATTTATTTACATCTTTATATTACTGAGATTTTTATGTTTTATATATTAGTTAAACGTGTAAATTATTAAATTTTAAATAAATTATAAACAATATACAGTATTTCTTTATTATATTTATATTTAAAATAACAAAAATTATAACTTCAAAGATATTTAAAATTTAAAAATTTAATCAAATCAAGCTCGTCAAATAATACTTTGTTATTAGTAAATATTTGAAGCTTTAAACATTTTCATAAACAAAATATTGATTTAATTCACATAATATTAAATAATTCACTGTATAAGATTTTATGCAAATTATTAATTGAAAAGTGTCTGGATTATTATTTTTTTACCAAAACTTTTACTTGAAATTTTTTCAAAAGTTAATATATGTATATACTGTATTTTTAAACAATTTGTATAAGCATATGCAAAAATATTAGCCAATTAGCATTTATAATTATTTTAGCATTTCTATTAACTTAAAATTAAAATCTTGCTTTTTATAAATTATCATTTGTATATTAGAATTCAAAGTATTTTGAATTCTCTATAATTTTCATTTATTACAATTAATGCATTCATGGCTAAATCTCGTATAAAACATACAGTCTAAACGAATATTGTTTATAAGTGTATTATTTTAACGTGCCGAAAATTATTTTTTTATTAATAATCACAAAGTTGTAATTCCAATAATTTTTATATAATAGATATTAATTAAAAACTTAAATAATATCATGAATTATGTTATTAGTCAAAAATCTCTGGGTAGTAACGACTCAACCCATACATCTGATCTGTTTGCAGGTAACCCAGATAATATTCATTCAAGTCAAAACACTAAATATGTCATCTTGGAATGCATGAATTTTGATCTAGGTTCTCGAGACCACGGCCTCATCATCCTATCTGAGCTTCCCGATGCCATTTGAGTGTTATTCAATGGTAAAGTTACACATTAACACAATAAGTATGTCCATTAAGAATAAACGGATATTGATGCAGAATTCTTGAGGGATCACATCCGCACAGTCTTATCTGAACTGCTCAATGTCAGTTGTGTGCTATATGGTGAGAAGGTTGTACTTCTAACACATTCGGTATGTCCTTCTAAAATGCGCGAATCTTGACCAGAATTCTTAAGGGACTACATTCATAATGTTTTATCTAAGCTTCCTGATGCTAGCTAAGTCATCTGGTGAGAATGCCGCAATGTTAACGTAGTCAGTGTGTCCTTTTAGAATAGGCGAAACCTTATTAAGATTCTCGAGAGACCGTAGCAGCATTGTATATTCTGAGCTTCTCGTTGTTACTTGAGTGCCATTTGGTAATAAGGTTACTGTTGGTATATCCTAGGATGGATTTTGATTCTTGATAAACCACAGCACACCGTATTATTTTCATTTCACCTCCTGCTGCTATCCGGTGAGAAGGCAACAATCCAAATATGACCACTATGTCCTTTTAGAATGCGTGATCCTGATCTGAACTACCCGATATCATCCAGAAAAGAAGGTCTCATTATTAACTGAATCAGTATGTCCTTCTAGAATACACAGATCCTAATCGGGGTTCTTGAGGGAGCACACAACCGTATCGAATTTAATAACTGCCGATGCCAGTTTCGTGTCATCCAGTGAGAAGGTCCAACAAGTATAAAATACATATAAATTCTAACGTTTCGACATTATAAAGATAAAAATTTTTTTTCACTGGCAACAGCTCCCTGAATTGCACGCTCGACTATCCACATTGCTAAAATTTGCATATCGCAAGAGTGTGATCAAACAAACCATAACCTGAATCCTCTTCGGGAATAATAATTTCCTTGTCACTAAATACTGTTCTTTGATAGCATTTGTTGCAGCTATTGAAAACCTGTGAGATTTTTTAAATTTTTGGTAAGATTAAACAGATTGTTATTAAATTTCAACCTGCTGCATACCTTTTGAACTTCTACCCTGTTGCACTACTCGATTAAAATACGAATGATTCCGGGATCACGTAGTATTGGTTTCCTTCAAATAACGTATATCTAGATTCATGCCTTCTTGAAAATTGATCGGGCGACAACAAGGATTTGTGGATAAATCGATATCGATCACCATTGCAATTTAACGTGTCTCTGGATCTTTTTATCCAAATAATTTAGCACACCAATTTGTATAGTCTGCGTCTGAATACTCTGCCACAACCTCATTGCCCTTAAACGGTTCAATTGCCTAGTTTTGTTAAATAGTATCCAATTTCGCGTAAAATCATTTTCATCTAACTCTTTAAAAGCCTTTTGTTTCAAACCATTTTTCCATAAATTGTTGTGCTGTATAAGATTAAACGTGTTATACTGTATTTTTTACAAATCCTCATTCTCTTGCAATCTAAGTTTGGCATGACTTATATAGAAATTTTTAAGATAAAAGGGTTACTCAGTAACTGTTCTGAATGAATTACATGCTATAAAACGGGTGTCTTCATACCTTTACACATTCCATGGCATCTTTGGAGCAATATTCTTTTGTTTTTCAACATATTTTCTAGAAAAAAGTCGATACTTTGTACTTAAATAGTTCACTCGCGGAATTTTTTTTGTCCGAGGCAAGCGTAGGAGATAATGAGCAGAAAAGTGATCATTTCCGCATTTTTTAATGCTCCGACAATTTCTATATAAAAAAAGGAAAAATTTTTAAATTATTTAAATACTGTATATTCATTAAAAAAAAATACCAAATAATACCAAACCTATCAACTCGCCAAATTCACGCCCCTATCCAACCTCCGTAATACTTACCCTTACTCTTGTCCGGTCGTCGTATCAGACCCGAAACGCCGTACTTCGCGTCGCCACTAACAACAGTGTTACGATGATCGCACATTTCAAAAAGGTAATCACTCATTATTTTCGTTATTCCTTGGTTTCTTTTATCTGCGTGTGAACGTTAATAAAATGAAAGAGAATGGAGCTCAGATCAATAAAAATCTAATATTTACTTAATTTGCCTTGCTCAATAAATTCCCCGAATCCCACAAACCTGCCAAATCCTTCCCTCTTGTAAACTTAACTGAACCTGACCCGCAATAATAGATCAATTCTCTTAGTAATTGATCGTCCAGCAAGGAAG